AATAGACATTTGTAGTTCAAATTATTGTAAATAGATGGCGCACTTCTGTTTAATTTAGCTGTGATACAATCAGGATATGTAGACTGGTATAAAATCGAAGCCGCCTCTGTACTCATGGGGGCTGTCATAACCCGGAACCATGGTATTGAGGTTAACCTTTTTCTTAATTTTTGAAAAATTTGCTTATTCATTATCAATACGTTCTATACTGGGATGAAAAACAAAATGGAATTATTTAATGCATTTTAAAAGAGAAGTGTATCTTTTGGTACAATAATTTCGTCCTTTCGCAACTATGCTATATAATTTGTCATTTTGAAATAAAAATGTTTAAAATCATATTGGAAGAGTATATATATATATATATATATATGACCAAACCTGGCCCTGAATATCTTGGCAAAGTTATTCCATACCTGTGAAGTTACTTACGTCAACGAGTTAACCTTTGTTTATAGTGGCGCTTCGTCCCAAACTACATAATTCTGTTTGGGATGACTCGACCGAGATAGATGGAGCAAACAGGCCAAGAACTAATCTTCTGATGCACAATGGACCCGTCTCAATTACGGAATAGAAAGGCAAAACCTTAACTTTCTCTGAGGCAAAAATATTTTAAAATAGATTCTCACAGCAAAAGACCTGGTTTCCCACAAAACACAATTGATCGACCCATTGTTGGACGTTGGTAATAAGGTTTTTTAAATGTCCCAATATTTAATTATAATGGGTATTCGCATTGCATTCAGTTTCCTCATCAATGTCGGGTCATCTGTGAAACGATTGACATACAATTTCATTAGTTATCATGGAAACTCTTATTCACCGTATACCTCGCTTCACCTCTTCCACTCGCCAGACATCACTGTGGTAGATCTCTAAAGAGATATTGATATAAAGGTCAGGAATTCCCTGACTTTGTCTCCAAGTACCCGAATTACACATCCATGATGTTATACTTTTCACGTTGATGCTGGATGAAAATACTGGGTGACAGTTACTGTAAACCTTTGTACTTTGATGATCGAAAATGCAATTATATAATATTGGAATTTCGTTTTATAATAAACATGAAAACCATAACCAAATTACAATATAATTACAAACACAATTCTACTTAATACTTAAGCAAATTTATTTATATCATTATTTAGATTTCAAATTTACATAGTAATTTAGCAACATATGTATATATGTTTTATATGCATATTAGCAACTCTGCCATATATATAATACTTCGCCTCAAAAGTATTGTTTCGTAAAAAGAAAAATGGCGCATTCCAGAAGAGAATGTTTTTGGAACGTTCTAGAAAAATGTAAAAAATCGGAGAACAACGGATTGGCCAATCAGTAGCGATTGCGCAATGCTCAATCCTGGCGGCTTTGTGATTGGCTAACCAACCATGACCGTTCTGGAAAGATCTGCTTCGGTATATATAGGGATGAAAAGCTCATGCAGGGGAAGTCGAAGAACGAAGCTACGTGCTGTACTCCAAGCAAGCTGCTGTCTCAAGAAGTCGGACTGTTGCTTACCGCCGACGCCGGTGTGCTTCCTGGAAGATTCTGGAAGGTTCTACGAACTTCTGTCTCCTGTTCTGCTCCTGCTTTCTTCACTGTGCTGCAGTTGGTGAGTGTTGAACTGCTGTTTTCTTTATTGTTGTTTTATATTTTTGCACTCTTCTGTAATTATTTTATCGATTAGGCTTAAATAAAGTCCTAAAGATCCTTTGTACCCACGGAAGTTATTATTTGTCAACTAACAACGCAACAGTATCATCATATGAAATAGTGTGTTGATCAGTAAGATTTTACCGGCACAGCATGGGGCACCACTGCGGTGTTAAACCTCAAAAGTTGTAGTAGCTAAGTATTGATGAGAGAGAGGGTGTCGATGGTGTTCAGAATGATAGAGAGAGCACTCACATGTATATATATGTACATGAATATATAACATGATTTAATGTGCATCAACAACTGTACAACAAAGATGGATAGAGTATTTACAAGATGGGGAGAAATATCGACTCTGGGGGCCATCACCAATTGTCCCTCAGATTCAAACGTTCCATTTGTCGACGCTGACGTTTGAATTCCTTCTCTTCGGCCTTGCGGATGGCCTTCTCCATTTCCCGCAGCCAGAGCTCGTTCTCGCTAACGGCCGCAGGGGACTTCTTGTCCAGCTGGATGGTAAATAGACTTTTGACGATCTTCCACGTCTTGGTCATTTTCCTGTATAACACACAACTTCTGTCAGATAATTTTACTATTAGAGCCAGGACTAACTACACTATCTAAATCTTTAGTGAGCTTTAAAATACCATTGCGAAGTTAAGAAATTGTACAAATTTACTCATACAAAAGTATTTTTCACGTCATCTCATCTTATAGCACAAGTACATGTAGAAAATTTACGAAGTCCAAAGAGTAAAAAAAAGCAAATAATATCAAGGTCACCAGTAAATAAATAAGTAAATAGCTATCCACATCCCAACTTTATTGTCGCATAACCGTACCTCCAGAGATTTAATCACATCTACCCCTGCTAATACTCCAGTAGATTTCTTGATGACAATTTCCTTACTATTTTAAATGGAAGGTCCATTAGTGATAAAAATAAAAATTTTATTTATATTCCTAGAGTGGGCTCCTCGGTCGTCGTATAGCTTTCCTAGCATTACTCGAACTTATCAATGACCTTTATATTGAAAGTATATCATATTCTGATCATCTATCTTTAGTTCTAAGCATTAATATTTTAAACCCCAAACAATAAAAAAAAACTGCCAAACCTTGCTACACAAAAATATTTCTAGGTAGCAAAAATAAAAACTTCATTATATTCAAAAGTAATTCAAAAGATATGACCAATACACCACCCACTTTGGACCCCGGTATTGGATCTTTCGTAAAGATACTTTCAAATGAAATTCTATCAGTCATGACGCAAATAGAGATGGGCTCTGAAAAGAGATCTAATGGTTTAAGATTCAAACCATGGTTTGACAATGTTATGAGGCGAAGTAAAATATGAATGAAAAACTTAAGTTATATCTAACAAAGAAAATAATACAAATGATAGAGATTCATTTATTGCAAGCGAGAGAAAATATTTATTACAAATAAAATAAGAACACTTTAAAGAGGTACAAGTTACTCTTTTTGGTGTTAAAAATTGGTCCCAATTTTGGAATAATAAAGACATTTAAAAAAGGGACACCATAAGAAGATAAATTCAGATATCATACTGGCAGACTTTTTACCAAACGTTGCTGGCTGCACCTTCGTCAAATGTGCAACTTCTGTCAGATTTATCTTATTATGACCCGGAATTGAATTGTGAGATCTTGTTTAATGAAGTGCACAGAGAAATACATAAACTTAGGGATAATAAAGTCACACCGGAATCAGTTCTAGAATTCTAGCTTCTCTTATGTAGAGTTGTTCAGAATTTTATACGAACAGAGTCTCTTCCCCCCTTCTACAATGAAATAATTTTCACGATTCTCATTATATTAAAAAAATAGAAAAAAAAAACATTATGATTCTTAGAAAGAAAATGTGCTCGGAGAATAAAGATAGAAATATAAAGAGCTCAAAACCTTTCACATACAATACGTTTTAAAAAATTATATTTATATAAGGATATTAAACAAACTTATTGCGAAAGGATTTTGATTATAATATTCTATAGCAATTTATTATATCCAATAAAGAAAGAACTTTGTAAAAAAACAACGTTGTAGTTGACATTTGAAAACATTGGATAACGTAGAGTCTCTTGACCTAGTTGTGGTATCTCTACACTCCAGTTCCGTCTTCCTCTTCTCCTACAGTACCATTCTTTCTTACTTGATCTAGTTTACTATGTGTTAGATATATTATCAACAATTGAAAATTAGCAAAAAAAGGTTTGTCACTTACCAAGCAATAGCAATAATCTTACCTTTGAAGAAATATACGTATATAAAAAAGAAAAATAAATCAAAACTGACAGCTTATCCAAATCATCACTGGTACAAACCATTGAAACAATTAAAAGAACTTCAAAAATTCAATAGAAATCAACAAAAACTTTAGAAAAATTAAGAAGTGGCCATATAAAAACCTTAAAATTTCAAAATGAACAAAAAACCTTCAATAACTGCTTGAAATTCAATAGTGCGGAAGCTTTTCCTGAACATATCATGCTCAGAACTGACAATAGAGGACCTATTTTTCAGGCCTATAACTACCATCGCAAAATTGGAGAGGAGTGGACTTCAAGAATTGGTTTAACCATGGAGATAAGCACCATCACAACAACAATTGATTTAAATCTCTTGGATATCAATCAAACAAATGCTACGGGTTTCTGGAGTTTCTTGATCTTTATTAGAACGTAATCTCGAGCATTCTGGCATCTCTGTCCTTCTACAGGAGTACATACAAGTTGCAGAAACATATAAACGCCATTAAGATGCTAACTAATTTGTATATACATTTAATTATTAGGATTGGGTTTTGCATATTGCTTGACGTTGTAAAAAATATGTTTTTATGTACGCCTGTAGAAGTGCAGAGACTCCCGAAAGCTCGAGATCATGTTTAATAAAGATAAAGAATTTCCAGAAACCTGTAGCATTTGTTTAATATAAATAGATGTATTAAATGATGATAGCAGTTTGCCTGGCCGGCATTAATTGTTTTTGAGGTAAGAAATACACATTGTCAGTAGAGTTTTTATCTTGGATGAATATTTTATGTTTATCTTTCGATATTTCGACAAGGCTGATCGCTCATCGTCTACTAGGAACAGGTCTCTAATACTTTTCTATTCACCGAGATGTATTAGAATCCTACCTACAGTTTAAAACCAAGTAACAAATATGTTTTTATTAATGTTCGATTATTAATATATATACAGTTATCAGAGTCATCAAGCAACAATTCTTAATAATCAATTCTGTCACCGTTTGCTTTTGTGAATGGAATAAATACCCAAATATGGCCATTTCTCATAACCATCGGTGGTTCAGTGGTAGAATGCTCGCCTACCACGGCCCGGGTTCGATTCCCGGCCGATGCATTTTTTTTTTTTTTACAATTTTTAAAACTCATTTATATATTATACAAGAATGACATCCACGGCGCCAATCTATAATTGTAACGAATAGTATTTGGATAGAAGCATTTAATCGGGTAAACTCCGGGCGTTGCCCGGGTCATTCGGCTAATATAGAATATATGCACGATATCTTTTATAAAGTTGTAGGAGGATGATATCCTGCACCAAAAGAGAAACCATGAATTATGCATCAGAACATGCATTATGTTTATCTTCCCAGTATAAAATGAGGGCCCAAAACCATGGTATATAGCTTGGGTTTTTGTATGGATTTTCCAAAACTGATGTTGTGTTCGTGGTGTTATATCAGAACCTCTATCTGGGAACCATGGAGTCAGGTTATGGCTATTTTTATTCTTCAGATATCCTTAACTTCATGAGATCTACACCGGATTCATGAAATCTACGGAATTTGCCAAAGAGGTGTTTCGTTAATAAAGTGGCTATTTCAATTTTATGACAGAATATGAATGAGAATTTTGAAGGAAATTTATCTAAAAAAGGAAGAAAAATATACCTTTCTCGTGAAAATATTTGGACACCAATCAACAGCGCCAAATCCTAACTTATTTGATGAGCAAAGTAGGATGATCTTTTGTCACTCTCAAGGAGATCATCTTTCATTAGATCACTAGAGAAAGAGTGTCAATTAGAGGTACTTAAGAGAAAAAAGCATATCAATAAATGAAATTTCTTTGATAAATAGAGTTCAATTCAAACAAAGAAAGGAATGTGAAAAAGTTGTACGATAAGGAGATGCCTTTTTCTTAAAGGAAGGAAAGCTATAGGAACTGACCTTTCAACAGTCGAATGAAGAACTTGAGCAGTGAAAGAAGGGGAGTGAGTCAGTTGGAGTGAGATTACCATTCAAGTAGCATCACGGAGGTTTCAAAACCTTGAACTGATGTAATTTGGAACCTTCTATCACCCGGTAGCTTGACACAAATAAACAATGCCTTGACGCTGCTATCGGAGTTGCAGGAGGTGAGGCAAGCCTAGTGAAGGAAGGAAGGAAGGCTGCTAGCGTCCAAGATACGCTAAATACACTCAATGCTTTTGATGATTTTTGAAAAAAACTTTCCTACTGACCAAGTTGAAATGTGAATAACAAAAATAAATTCTAAATGTACCCTTTATTGAAAATAGAGTAAGAAAATTGAATATTTAATAAACCAAAATATCAAATATGACCATCAAAAGAATAGATTATATAAAAATTGCTTTAAAAAAGGACTGTGTAGGCACAGTATGGTAAAATACTATGATTAAACTTTTATTCGTTTTACATTGGTCTACCTATAGAGATCGTAAAAATTTAAGGTTGGGGTCATCTAGAAAAGACCAAGAACTCACGTAGGGTTTTAAAGTATACTTGAGTTCTTTCCATGACAATTCTATGTAACTCTAGTATTATGGGGGAATTTAGGTTAATCAATCCTAGAATTATTTCTTATGCAATCAGAGACATATTCATTCCTGGATCCTCTACTTTTCTGATGTAACATTCTATATTCCATGTTAACTTGAAGATGGCAACCTTCTAGGCCACACATTTTCTACAAATAAATGGTCAATAGAGAGTCGTTCATATCCCCATCATAGAGTCTTATAATTTAATTGTTTTCAGAAAAAGAAGATATATTTGCAGTGTGTGTTAGGGTAGCTGATATTAGTCAAAATGATAAACCCTTTTATTCACTATTTAATATGTAACATGTGAAGGTACTGTATTTTTAATAAATCCGACAGCATAAGTTCCACGTTGCGTGATCTTTTTTACAGCTAAAGGCTAGCATTATATCCAAAAAGTCAAAAATAAATAAAATATACAACTATAAAATTTCAGATCACGTGGATATTGATATATTCTAATAGAGAACATGAGCTTAAAATTACATAGATATTGTTACATAGAAAAATTAGGAAAGGCAAACGTCAAGATGATATGGCGATTACTAAAAAACGCCGATTATACATGATTTATATAAAAGAATACAGAGAATAAATAGAGTAAAATTTGCTGAGTAACAGAATATTAATAATATGTTGATAGAATACGAAATATTTTTGTTATACAGTAATAAATATTTAAAAAATGAAACTTATTTCAGACAGAAACGGGGTCCGTTCATTTGTTTCGGGAAATGAACGCTAGCTGTCAACGGCAGGTGAGAGGTCTGTCCAGGAACGGACAATCTCGTGTTTACTCGACCAGATAACGCATGTTTACGGTAAAGCCCGAATTGCAGCATTACCACGACATGATGCCGGCGTAGATTTTCTTGGGAGCAAACTTCAGATTAGTGAAAATTTGGCAAATATACAAGGTATGATCAAAAAGTTCGGAGAATTAGTCAAAATATTTTTTGAAAGAGTTTTCGAAAAATAAAAATTATCATTATAATCACGAGATCTCGTTCTACTAGGAAATATTTATATCTTTTTGATATCTCAAATATTAATAATTTTATAAGCATTTTTTAAAGAAAAGAAACAAAGGCGCGGCGTTTTTTTTTTTTACAATGAATCTTATAAGTGAACATAGGGTATGCATAAAGTTTTGTCAAAAATTAGGAAAAACGGCTTCAGAAACGTTTCAAATGTTTAAATTGGCGTTCGGGGAGGCAGCCTTATCACAATCAAAAACGTTTAAGTGGTTTGCCCGTTTCAAATCTGGTAGAGTGTCAACCCATGATGACGCACGCCAGGAACGACCTCCTCTGGAAAATCATGAAAAACTGACCCAAAAAAATTGGTGCTTTAATAAGGGAAAACACTAGTTCCAAAAATTCTGTCCGAGGCTCAAAAGGAGGAAAGGGTAAATGTCTGCGAAGATTGGCTATTGAACATCCATGAAGATCCAAACTTCCTCACAAAGGTTATTACTGGTGATGAAACCTGGGTCTATGGGTGACCCAGAGACCAAACGACAATCGAGCCAGTGGCTTCCGAAAAATGACCCCAAACCGAAAAAATCAAGAATGTCTAAGTCAAAAACATCGGTTCTCTTGGTGACTTTTTTCGATCACCAAGGCATTGTGCATTATGAATTCCTCCCACAAGGGCAAACAACTAATCAATACGTGTATCTAGCCATTTTACGCCGTTTACGGGAATCAATAAGGAAGAAACGACCAGAAAAGTGGATCTCTGGCGAATAAATACTTCATCACGATAACGCCCCAGCACACAGTTCTTTCCGTGGGTGATTTTTTGACTAAAAATAGGCATGTTGACAATGCCTCACCCCCCGTACTCGCCTGATTTAGCACCAAATGACTTCTTTCTCTTTCCTAGAATGAAGTCAGTTCTAAAAGGACATAGATTTGATACCGTTAATGCCATCAAGGAAAAATCGCTGATCGTTTTGTGGGGGCATTACTTCTGACGAATTTTCTGGGTGCTTCCGGAACTGGGAAAAAAAGAATGAAACGCAGAATAGTTTCCTTCGGAGAGTATTTTGAGGAATATTAACCATTTTTTTGTATATATATTCATCTAATTACTATTTTATGACCCAATTCCCCGAATTTTATGATCAAACCTTTTATATTTATTTTTTTTAATCATATATTTTTGTCCTTCAGACCAAATCCTGGAGATGATTCTCTCTGGGACAGTTGAATTTTTCTTCAGTTCTTTAAAGAGTACTCTTGTCCATCCCAATATTTTTTTAGCATATGCTGGGAGTCGCTTCATTAAATAGGAATGGGCCTGTACGAATAGGAACAGGTTTTTGTCTCTTCTCTATAAAGAAATAGTCATATGTGACCTGATATCAGTTTGGTTAATTGTATAAGTTATTTTCTATTTCGTTTAAAGGTTTGTTTTGATTTAGTTTATTTATTTGATACAACGAATGACTAACGTTTCTCGTGTTTTGCTAGTTGCTGTTAAATTTGATTGAGGTGGTTTTAAAGGAGGATATATATATTTACAATATATTAAAACTTACACCGTGCTGGAACCATTGTTACGACTTTTGTTGATTGATTAGAATTCTAAAGCCACCCTCACTATTGCCGTAAAATTCTAAATATGAATTTGAAACACTGAGTGATCTATCAGGATACTGTTTCTAAGATAACGAACAAAAACTTTGTTATTATTATTTTTTTACCATTAAATCTTGATTAAACATTTCTAAACATTCTAAAACTCTCCGTTTGCACTGGCCGACGTATATTCCTACCGCATTACAAACAAAGCTAACAACATTTCAAACCCACTTCGTGGTGTAGGTTTGTCAAGGGCACTGAGAGGCGTGCTAATCACGTGTAGGTAAGAAGGAGTGACGTCACGGTGTGTTGTTACTGGAGGTCAACGTTCCTGTTTGTAAACTGAAGATTACGACGGTGGCGGCCACAACAACAACACCCTCGTAGGTCAAAAAGCTTCGTCTTTAGAGAGGATCGTCATTTTACGTGAATTCTTTGAAAGTTTTCAATAGTTCTCATAGCAATTTAATAGCAAATAAAACACAGAATGTGATCTATATACGTGTGAAATGCTAATTTTATATATATTGACACAAATAGCTTTCCCCTTCGGCACTTACTGGTTATTGGATTCTTAGGAGTGACTTCAGGTCGTTTACCGAGTGTGAAGTTTTTTCAATTACCTCTTTAGGATCAGGGAAACCAAAGTTACATAGTTCCACGGTTATAAATTGCTGTAGAGATAGGGTCAGGGATCTGTGTTACATTCGGAAGTTACGGTGAAATACATACTGTATTCTTTTATTTGAGAGTGAAAAAAAAAAAAACGAAAAGTGGTTATAAGCAAGTTAATAGAGGTATTACGAAATTCTTTTTATAAATAAATGGAACTTATTAGACGTGGTTAGAGTCAAATAAATACGAAAGCGAAGAAATTTTTGATATTAATTTAAAATTCATTTTCAAGTCGAGGATGTGGCCCTCTGCTAAACTCTCATCCCTTAATCTATCCATTCAGTAATC